ATCGAACATATAATCAAAGAGGCGAAGAGAAAGAGGAATACGAAGAAACCGGCAGACGTTGATAAAGCTGCCTAACAAACGGTGACCATTAGGGGCCAGCTGCCCGGGCATGATCCCGTAGGTCTCAAGGAAAAGGACTTTGAATGGGTGAATAGAGAACTCACCCAAGTCCTTGATCGAATGGTAATGGATCCCAATCAACGTACCAGCATGGAGAGGTATAATGCTCTTCCACGTTGCCCGGTAGGTCAATTGATACCCATCAGGCATCAGATTACGCAGTTCGTGGACTTGGGGTTTCTGCATGTACGACGGTTGCTCTTGGAGAAACCGATCGTCTAGCTGAATGAGGCCCTTGTCCCCGGACTGGGCAACCGAGACCACTTGCGCCGCGGAAGAAGAGGGAGCGCAAGTGGAAGCATCAACCGGCTTCTTCTGTGGAGAAGTAGCCGGGTGCTCAGAGTCGGAGGATGAAGAAGAAGAAGAGGAACCAAAGGTGGGAGACCGGCCGCCAGAACCATAAGAATGAACGGAGGGGTTCTGACTATCCTCACGGTCCCACATGACTCAGAGAAGGAATGAAAGAAACTTACTTGGAGACGATTAGAAGACTCGGAGGACTCGGAAATAGTAGAAGCAGCCGGGCAGGTTTTTGAATTGAAGATTTGCAAGTGAGGAAATTCCAAGGAGAACGACGCTTTATATAGGAGAGATGCCGCCCAGACGGGCGAATGAAGAAATGACACGTGGCGGCTGAAATGATTTGCAATCATAACCTCTCGGGGAGACGAAACGGCACGTTAAATCGGCGGCTCTGTACCCGAATTCGAGAAGATTCTCCCGCTTTGGACCACCGTTTTTTGAAAATTCAAAATTCAAATTTCAAATTTCAAATATTTTGGGTTGGCGCTGGTTTTCCGAGACGATTTCCCCGCCGAAAAGCGACTAGGCTGTTCAAATTCCAGGAAATGATCGCATGTGCTTCCCGCCCCTGATGGTCCCCACAGGACCGAGAATCGGAGGACTCCTTGATGGGTAATAACCCAAGGATACCACCCGGTTGGTTCACCGAACAGCACGCGTCTTTTTCAGCCCGGGTTATTTGACCGGTTGGATGAGGAGACCAGATGCCAATACCCGAAGATTTACTTTCAAAGTGCACCTGGTGGGCCGGTCAGCCGCCTGACCGGTTGGATAATCAGAGACGTGCTTGACGTGCTTAGGAT